ACCCCACACACACACTCTCTTTGAGTTGTGTATAGCGAACATGACAAAACATACATACAGCATAATCACTACCTTACCCTTCCCGAACCACATGAACAAACGAACTATGGGCTGCGCACCCGTGCCCTCACGGTAAGTCAATTGCACGTACTCGCCACCATTTTATTTCCACAGAAAAGCTAAAATTTTATGTCTGCCTAATCTCCAGCTGTGAACCCCTTAGCTCGCCAAGAAGTGGTTTTGTGGAGGGGTCACACGGGGTCTCGCTCACTCTACAATTCTTTTTAGAGTGCATGTATAGTTGCCAGACTATACAAATCGGTAGAAAACCTGTCATTGCTCCACTTACTCTCCACCCCACATCGGTCCAAGGACTCTCTGATTGGTGACTGTGCTAGAAGAGACGGCAACCACACTGGAAGACATGGCACCGTCAACATTTCATCCGCCCAGACTCGAGGGGGACTCTACAAATTCGTTCCCGGATCGTGAGCTTGGCAGAGCACGACAAGAAACTTATTCTACAGGCAGGGGCAAAGAGTGCTTTTATGACAGGCTCTCTGACAGCTATACAGGAGATTTTCACGATTTCATTTGCAGAGTTATTGGAACGATGAAAAACTCTACCAAATTGTAGAGTGGAGAGTAGTGGAGCGAGACCCAAGGATGACCCTCCACAAAACAGCAGTAGAGACTCGGGAACTTGCCACATTCTGTGACGGATTGAAAAAGGGAGCTGATCGAAAGTTCTGACAGGTTTTCTCACACCAAGTTTGGCGAGTAAGGGGCTCGCTCTACTAATAACACAACATTGTTTTGGTCAGTGGCCTCACTACTCCACCATTCACCACGGCCCGAATGTCCGAAGAAATTTGTTTTGCCGTGGTGAGTGGGCTATGGTAAGCACTCGCCCCGAGGTTAGTTTTCCCCGCCTGCAATGGCAGGGTTGCGGAGGAAGCTCTCCGGTTCTCACCAGAAGGGGTGAGCTCACCACACAACAAGACAAGGCCTCAACAGGCGCCCACCACACAACAAGACAAGGCCTCAACAGGCCCCCGCCACACAACAAGACAAGGCCTCAACAGGCGCCGACCTTGTTCCGTAGTGTTGTGAGTGAACAAGTGTGGTGAGTGGTGGAAGGCGGCGTTTTGCGAGGGAAGTCCCATGGGGGTACTCACCGTGGGAAATAGAGTTTGGTGAGTGGTGGAGCGAGGCCCTAAGTGCAAGCACACACCTACTTGCCAAACTTGGGGGATGGCGAGTAGTGCAATGCAACTGGGCCCTTAGAATACCCAACCGAGTGGTTAGGGCGTGCTGCAACAAGAGAGTACCAAGCGCACACATGGGGCGCTCTTGTCAGCTGCCGCGGAACTGCGGGAAAAACGCCCAAAACGCGTTTACCCTACGGGGGGATATGGCCCCACTCTACAGTGGAGCGAGGCCTATAGTCACAGTCACAGTCGTACTTCCCTGTTTTTTTTCTTAATTTGGACCATTTCTCGTTTTATGCGTGTCATCCTTGAAAGCGCAGGGGCCATGCTAATCTTCTCTTTCTCTGTATTGTTCCAATTTTAACGGATGTCCCGAAAGGACTGTACTTCCCTGTTTGCATGTGAGGTACAGTAAGAAAGAAAGAAAGGTCCTACCGAGTACACACTTTGGGCCTCGCTGCACAGCTCTTGAAAGGTGCAAGACGAGAGTGAATCTTCCGCTAGAACATGGAAAGATGCAGCGACATGATTTTTGTCTTTTGTGCATTTCAAGAGTAATGCAGCGAGGCCCTTTAGGGCACGCTCACTCTAGGATCTCGGACCTTTTTTTTTTTTTTTTCCTCTCTCAATTTCACCTCACACTACCTACCTACCACTACTCCTAATTGTAGGCGTGGTCCGAAAAGACCTACTACGAGCCTATGCCCTGAGCTCTCCGGAACCGTTCACCCACGGTAATCTCAGACCTACTGCCCCGAACGGTATATATACGAACCACTCACTACCTGATGACAACCAGGTCGCGAGCTCGAATCTCCTGTTTGCGGGCAATCTCCGCCCGCTTGAAGGAGATCGAACGACAAGAGGCCCCCCTCCCAGCCATCAGGCGGGCAAGAGATTTTCGGGTAGTCCCCACCAGGAGGAGCGTGCGTTTCGCAACCGGTAGGCTCGGATATCCATGGGAGGGAGGGTGAGGTTCGGGGGCCACCGTGGCGGCAACAGACACCGCACGTCCAGCCTTTCCTTTCCTTTTTCTCTGTGACAATGGTTTTTTTTTTATAACTCTGGGCTTGTGGTTGGTTGCGCGACTGCCTCGTGCATCTCCCTTGCCTTCCCCTCGCCCGCTTTTCCATGTCAGGGCATACCCAGACTACAGTACGACTTTTTCTACACAGATCTGGACGTTTTTGAGGCCAGATTCGCCCAGGTCTCACCGTAATTGCGGTCTAAAGAAGTCGAAAGTATCTGGAGTACGACCGACTACGTATGCAGTCTTTTTTTTTTCTTTTTTCTTTTTATGCACTCAATTTGTCTACTACGGCAGTACCGTATCGCGGAATGCTGTGCAGTGTTTCGTATCCCATGCGCCATCGCTGTCAGTGGGCCCAATCCATCCATACACATATATGTGTAACAGACCGGGGGGGGAAATGCGTGAGGCACGGTCCCATGGGCCGTGGGTTCCTTTCCTTTCCCCTGACCTTCGACGCTGCTTGCTTCAAGAGAAATGCTGTGCTTTGGGCTCGGGCTTGTTATGTCCTTGGTCGGAAGCTGGAAAGGGCAATTGGGGTGTTGTGTGTCCGTGTTCTTCCGCGTGAAAGGGAAGAAAGCAAAAAAAGGGATTCGTACGCAGACCCGCCGCATCCGCTCGTGGCACTCCCCTTCGGCTCTTTTCCAGCCATGAAATGTTATGCAATTAAATCGCAAAAACATTCGGTCGGTCGTGTGTGGGCGAGAACCGTCCGCGCACCGGTAGCTTCCTTGCCGCACTGGTAGCTTCCATGCCGCGCACACCTTCCTTTCCGTGCATCCCGTCCTCCTCCCGTCTCTACCGCTACAGTGATCACTGGCGCGCCCCCTCCCTCCTTGTCAGTATCCGTCATCCTCCTCCGGAGGAGGGGGAGAGGTATGTTCATCTCTCTTTCTCTTCCCTCTAGGCCGCGTGCGCGCGCGTGCGCGTGCGTGCGTATCTCTCTCTCTCTCTCTCCCCTCTCGTCCGCGTGTGCGCGGCACTGCGAGCGTCTCACTTCCTCTGCGGACTTGCGAGGTAGGGTTGGCGCGGATTGGCTTCTTCCCTCTCCTCTGTCCTAATTGCGACGACGGAAAATCTTTTCGCCCATGTGCCCTATCTTCCGTCCTGGTGCGTCTCTCTCTCTCTCTCTGTCTCTCTCTCTCCCTCTCTCTCTCCCTCTCTCTCTCTCTCTCTCTACGCCTTGCTATATGGAATTGGGAATTGGGAATTGGGAAGCCCCCATGCGTTTGCAGTGTATTTGTTTTCACACTTTTGTGGCTGTTACTTGGTCTTTTTTCTCTTCAGGAGAAGAGAGGAACGTTTCCTCCTCCTCCTCCTCCCGGCTGAGACACGGCTTGGTACCGTAGCTAGCTAACTGGATTTTTGTTGACGACCCCCAGGCAAGTCAACCCGCGAAAACGGAAGCTGAAAATTGTGACAGGCAGAAGCAATCCAGGTAAGGAGGAGGTCCGACGACGCCACATTCTGTCTTCAATTCCCGAGTGTGCTTGTCATTGCATTGACAACGGTTCTCCTCTAGTCGCTACGTTCTACAGTAGGGTAAGGCAAGGCAAAGGGGAGGGTCAAGGTCGGGGGCAGGGGGAGGTAGACGACTTGTGGAGACGAGGAATAAGGGAGAGAAAGGGGCAGAGAAGAGTAAGGGGGGAGAAAACGAGCGGGAGTTGGGGGGCCGGGAAGGAGGAGGAGGAGGAGGAGGAGGAGGAGGAGGAGGAGGAGGAGAGGGAGGAGGAAGGCGGGGAAAGAGTGGAGAGAAGCGGTTACGACATAGCAAACGACTTTTGCTGGCAGCCTCATGGGGGACCCTTTCGGGTCGATACTTGCGCAGAATTATGGGTTGAAGGCGCAACAAGGCAAACCGGTGCCGATGAGTAGCGCGAGGGGAAAAGGAGGCGGAGGCCCTGTAGGATCGAGCGGCGTAGGTGCGGCAAATGGGCGGTCGGGTGGCGTGTTTGGCGGCGGAAGCAGCGCGATGGCGGGGTCTTCCTATGCCGGAGCCACCAGCGGAGGCTCGCGCGCTTCCGGGTTCATGTCGGGGACGCCCATGCGCGGCGGATCGAGAGGTGGGGGTCTCTCCTCCCTAGGAGGTGCGCAAGATGACGTGTTTGCGAGCTTGAATAATGGGGGCTCCTCGTCCGGAAGGTCGAGCCCCAATAATAATGATGTGTTCGCAACGCTCGGTAATCTTTCTTCGGGGACAAGCGGAGTTAGTGGGTATGGCGCCACGAAGACCCCGCCGATGAGGCCCGCAGCGAGTGGGAGTGGAGACGGGGGAGGGAAAAGCCTGGGGGCAGACTTGGACGACATGCTCGAAAGCATCAGTCGCAAGGGTGGAGGGGGAGGCGGGGGGGGAGGAGGGGAAGGAGCGCGAGGTGGGGCGCGGAAAGCTAGCGCTAGCTCCGCCGCGTACGGAATTGATGATTTGTTCGGTACCGGGCCGGGCAGCAGCAGTAACAGCAAGGTGAACAGCAGTGGCGATAGCTCGGATGACTTGTTTTGGGGCATTGGGGGCGGACGAGTTGGGAAGGGGGCTACTAGCAGTGGGGAGAAAGTAGGTGGTAGAAGTCCCTCCCACCCGACCTCCTCCGCGGGCGGGGCTGCTGATGATGTGGCAGACCTTTTGGGGGGATTCGGGAATTCAGAAGCGAGCGCCGGTGTCCCATCGAAAGCTAGTACGAATACGAAGAGTAGTCCTGCCCGTACGGAAGACAAAGGGGATCCTTTGGTATCTCTGGATGGGGATACAGACTCTGGGGGAGGCAAGGAGGGTTCCTCGGGATTTGCCACCCCCGCAACGGAATTTGACGATCCATTCGAAGGGTTGACGGTTCCGCGGCCTTCGGGATCGCCGCCATCTTCCGCCCCTGCGACGGGTGCTGACGGGGCGCCCAGGGGCGCGGCTGAGGCGGCGAGTGGGCACCCATCGCGCGCGCCATCGGCTACAGGCATAGAGGGGTTTGAAGACTTCGCTCCGCCGACGACGCAGCCTGCCTCGAGCAGCGCGGAAGCTGCGGGCCCGCGTGGCACTGGTGGCGCGGCGGCGGCAGGGAGGGGAGGCAATGACTCCATGCCCGCGCAGTCGAGGCAAGCGGGGGTAAGTGGAGACAGGGGAGTTGAGGGAGAGGAGGATGGTCCGAACCCCACCGTCAGCGGGGTGAACGTCGACTCGGCTTCCGCGTCTATTCCGCCTTCCGGTGCTGCCACCGCCGCTGCGGCTACTGCCGCCGAGAGAAGAACGCCCCCCGAGGAGGGAGCTGCCCCCGGATCGAAGGAGGTGCCTCGACCGGCGCGAGATGAGCGTCCTCCTTCTGCGCCGTCGCAAGGACAACCACCAACGGCCGGCGGCAGAGACACGTCTCCCATGCCAAACGCTGCCGATGGGCAGAGGGGACCGGGCGCTGCTGCTCCTCCAGCGAGTGCCCGCGCCGCCGGCAAGGATGCGCCTGCAGGGAGGGAGAAGATGAAACCGGCGGAAACCAGGAGCGGAGTGCCTCCGCCTGTTGCCACGAATATGGGGACGGCAGATTCGGGGCGCGGAGGTGGTTTTGGATTCCCCGAAGAGCCCGCGCCGTCCGTCTCTCCCACTTTTAAGGAATGGGTGACGATAAAGGACATCAAGTTGAAGACTCGTCCTTGCACGCTGCCGCCTCCTTCACGTCCTCCCCCTCCTGTTCCTCCTTCGATGGGCTTTCAGAGGGCCAGCCCCGTGTTTAGCTCCAACCCGTCTCTCTCCCCTAATCATCAGCGACCGGCGGACCCTGTCGTTCGTCTCAGAAGCAGCATGTCCGCGGATACGCAGCAGTCCCAACCACCTCCCGAAGAGCCGCGTTTGAGAAAGCCGCACGCTTACGAACCTACTCCCGTTTTCCCAAGGGCGTCGACTCCTTCCGGTGGCGGAAAGACGGCGCGAGCGCAGCAGCAACCGCAGCAGCAACAGGCGTCGGCGCAACCGCCTCCGCGGTACGATTCCCCATCGTCTACTGGCGCAGGTCGCCCGCGGTGGGGTCCAGGGCAACAGGATGGCAGTGGTGGCGGCGGCGCAAGTGCCCGTGCGTCCGCTAGTTCCGCGCCGTCGTCGTCGTCGTCAAACTCCAAAGAGGATGCGCGCGGCGGAGGCGAAAGCGAAGATCCATACGTTGCGCAAATACGGCGGATGAGAACCGCGGCACCGTCGTCGGCGCAGTCCTCGCCGGTGCCGGAGCGGACGTCCTCGGGGAAGGAGGAGGATGCTGCGCGGGCGGCGGCCGCGCAGTCTTCCGCCGAAGTCGCGCGGGCGGCGAAGAAGGCGCAAGAGAAGATGAGAGCGGAGATGGCGGCGAAAGAAGAGGCAGCGTCCCGGCAGCCGCGGCCATCGCCGTCTCCGTCACCCTCGCCTGCAGAACAGAGGGCGTCAGATTCAGGGAACTTCTTCGGTCAGTCGACGACGGCGGGGAGAGGCACGAGGTCGAAGCCTCGACCTACCGAGCGGGATTTCATGGGAGCTGGCGACAGACCCCCGATGACGAGTGTGGATGACCTAGCAAACTTGGGCAAGAAGAAGAAGCAGCCGGGCGGATGGGTGGATATGTCCGCCGAGGACATGTGGGGTCCTGACGTCGTCGGGTCCGCCGCGAAGGTGGCCGAGCCGGAGGATCCAAACGAACCAGCGGAACGGAGAGCTTATCGATCGGAGAGAGATAGGCGAGTGGAGGAGCGCGCTGCGGAAGCGCTCGCGGAAAAGAACCGTCGCGACATGGAGATGCTGCGGGAACAGGAGGCGCGGCACCTAGCGGATGAAGAACTTGGCGGAGAGATCAAAAGATGGGCGGCGAACAAGGAAGGCAACATCAGAGCGCTACTCTCTACGCTACAGGATGTTCTTTGGCCTGGTTGTGGCTGGGTGCCCGTCTCCATCACCGACCTTATCAGCGCCGCGGCAGTGAAGAAATACTATCGAAAGGCTGCATTGTGTGTTCATCCTGACAAGGTCCAACAGAAGGGGGCAACGGTGCGGCAGAAGTATGTCGCAGAGAAGGTCTTCGATCTACTCAAGGAGGCATGGAACAAATTTAATTCCGAGGAACTGTTTTAAGGGGGGGGGGGGGGGGGGGGGGCGGGGGGGGAGTTGCGGTGGCGGGAAGATGCGGAAAAGAAGAAGAAAAAGGGGAGGGGGCAACAGCTTGCTACTGGTTGTCCGTGCTGTCATTGAAAGTAAGTTGGAAGAGAGGGGCACGTAGTAGAGAGTATGAACGAGGAGAGGAAGAGAGAAGAGCGGGTCTCGGCCACGGCGGTGAAATGTGGAACGAAAAAGCGAAGGGGAGGAGGGGGAGGAGGGGAGGAGAGGAAGGCTCAGGAAGGAATCGGTGGGAGAGTAGGGGATGAAGGGAAGGGGTATGTTTGGCCTGGCAAAAGATGGAAATGAAGAAACAGGGGGGTTTGCTCATGGCGAACTCTTGTTGCGGAGATGACGACAACGACAATCGATCGACGACTGCTAGGTAGTCAGTCACTCTGCTGTGTGTGGTACACTACTCTACTGTGAGTACGAATTACTATAAACAGTCCGTTCCTAACCGTCGATCGATCGATCGATCGGTCGGGTGGGGTGGGAGAAGTGGGCGATTAGTTGGTTTGAGGCTTCGAGGACGATCTGAGAAAGGTAAGGCTTGATTGGTTACGAAAGCAGCATCATTTGCGGATTTCCTGCAACTCGTGTCTTTTCATTGTAGGTTGGGATTAGGGTCACACACAGAGAGAGAGAGAGAGAGAGAGAGAGAGAGAGAGAGAGAGAGAGGAAATAAGATAACCCTAAAGCCATGGAAAGAGGGAAGGGAAATAATGCGCGATTGGGATCAACCTGAGAACGCAACCTTTGTGTGAGTGGAGAGAGGAAAGGTGGGAAAAGGGAGGGGGCTAGTAGAGAGAGAGAGAGAGTGATAAGTCCATGTTGGGACTAGTTTCTCAAAAGGGGCGACGGGCAGCATAATGGTTGGATTGCGAACATCGTCACGCATTTCGGACTTTTGATGGGCTGTATAGATTGGAATCTTCCTGGAACCTTCCAGAAGTTTGTGGCTGAGTAGCGGCTGACGAGCCAAGCAGGGACGCGGGGAATCGAACCGTTCATTTTCATTTTGGGTCCCGTTAATTGTTTATGATGGCCGAGTTTGGAGGTCATGCCCGAGCCTTGGTATCGATTTCTTTCTCTGATTTTTTTGTTTTCATCCCACCAGGGATTTGAATTGTTCGTTAGGGAACTCAAGGAGATCAGGGTTGGTGCCATCGTTTAGTCTTTTGCCCGTTAGGGAACTCCAGGAGATCAGGGTTGGTGCCAGTATTGCCCGTTAGGGAACTCAAGGAGTGTGGAGGTCAAGCCCGAGCCTTGGTATTCTGCTGGTCTTAAGGACATGGAGCTTGAGGAGAAAGGAGCCATGGATGGACAGACAGGAAAAAAAATGTGGAGTTAGGGTGCGTGAGTTGGACGGGTGATGAGGTCTATCCTCGGCGCCGCCTCCAGTGCGCTCGGCGCCTTCTTAACTGCTGCCTGCACTCCGCGGATCCTAAAGTGTGAAGACAGACGAAGATTCGGCGCCCTAGCGTGCACATCCTTCTTAAGGAATTTGACAGTCTAAATTTCAGCACTTCTTACAGTAAGTCACCCTCTCGAGTGCTACCTGCAACGTCAACGAAATTTACGAATGCGAGCATTTGGAGACATACGTAACCTGGGGAGTGCTGGGAATTTGTCCGTGTGCGAGGGAATGAAGGAGAGGGGGAGGGAAATATGAGTGTTGAGCAGACAGTGGAGGCAGTGATGATGAGCAGCAGCAGCCCGCGTCTCTGCACCGCGTAGATGATGATAGGTTAAGAGCAAGAGCAAGGAGAGTAGGGGCGAACGTGAAGGAAAAAACATTATTTGGCGTTTTCTATTTCATGTGCGCGTGTGTGCGCGCGTTTGTGTGTATGTGCGTGGAGAGAGAGAGAGAGAGAGAGAGAGAGAGGGCGCGAAGGATATCACGGCCATCGTCATTAGCCGCACAAGAACAAAAATGGGCTGTGTTGGATTAGACAGAGGGATTTGGCGGGAAAAGAGAGACAGAGGGATTTGGCGGGAAAAGAGAGAGGAAGAGATGGGGTTGGGAGTGAGAAGATCAGGGCTGCCGTTAGAGGCATATAGGTCTCTGGATTTATTTGTTGTTCTTTTTTTTGTTGTTTCACCACCCACACCATATAGGTAAACGGATTTCTTTCGGATTTCCTTGTCGCGGTTACGTTGATGGGCTTGTCTATGTTGATGAAATCTTAACTTGCGGGTACGAAAATTCACGATTCTAGGTCTCTGGTCTTGGTCTTGGTCTGTCTTGAGTTCGCCGTTTGCTACTGGTTGGCGATGATGTATGGTTATGTACTGAATTCTGTACTCTCTATTTCCTCGTTTTGTCAGCATTTATGTTTACTCCATTCTTCCCCCCGCCGGGGGGGGGAGAGAGAGAGAGAGAGAGAGAGAGAGAGAGAGAGAGAGAGAGAGAGAGAGAGGGTGAAGGGACGCCAGGCGAGGGATAGGAAAGTGGGGGCGAGACGGAGGAGCGTAGAAGAGTGTACTCTCTATTTCCTCTTTTTGTCAGCATTTATGTTTACTCCATTCTTCCCCCGTGGGGGGGGGAGAGAGAGAGAGAGAGAGAGAGAGAGAGAGAGAGGGTGGAGGGACGCCAGGGAAGGGATAGGAAAGTGGGGGCGAGACGGAGGAGCGTAGAAAAAGGGAAAGGAAAGGAGGGGTGGTTACGACAAAGGCATAGTATGGGGTGAGCTGACGCTGAAAGAAGCGGGGGAAAGGGAGGAGGAGGGGGGGGGGGGGGGATGCGGAGGGGAGAGCTGGGAAGGGCTAGGCAAGTAGACAGGGAGAGGGTGGGGTGGAGGAGGTGGTTCCGCTTATTGGTTCTGTGACGGATTTTGAATATGCATTTCGTTTACCGGTTGCTTGCACTTGCATTTGGGAGTGATTGAATGTTCCCTCCTGCGCCCTATCGTCTCCCTTCCTCCACCTCCCCGCTATTATCTTTTTCTGTCTGCCTCCTGTTCTACCATTTTGTTATTCTTTCATATTCTTGTCCTTCAGTTTTGTAGCAAGCTACTCCCCACTGGCTCACCTCGGGATCGAATCGAGGAACTCATCGGGCGGCGAAGGAGTTCACAGCTTGTGGAGTGTTTTCTCACTCTGATTGGTACGTATGAACCAGGGAATCCATTGTGACCGACGTGCAATCCACAGCCGTACTTGGTACGTGGGAACCAGGGAATCCATTGTGACCGAAGTGCAGACCATAGCCATACTTGGTACGGAGGAACCAGGGAATCCATTGTGACCGAAGTGCAGGCCATAGCCATGCTACTATAGTCGTTGTGATCTATTCCCGGAAGTAGTTTCAAAGCCCCAGTCTTTTTCGGGACAAATGATCTGATCCCCTGTCGATGATCGTTCTCCTCTTTTCGTGTGACCCCAGTTGATTAGCGTATAAAGTCTCCAGTGTCATGGAGGCTCGGTGGACTGATTATATGACACAATTGCAATCCATAGCCACACCCCTACGGTCGTGTACGCGGTGATCTATTTTTTTTTCCCCCGGAAGTAGTTTCAAAGGCCCGGTCTTTTTAGGGACAAATAATGTGCTCCCCCGTTGATGATCGTTCAGTCCAGTGTCGTGGAGGCTCGGTGGACTGATGGTGGTGGGATCAGAGAGTTCGTGGAGCTGTGCGATTTGCGATCGATTCTTCATTCGCGAGGTCTCGCAGTCTGCTCATCAAGGAGCTTCATGACTCTTGTCTCTGGTGTTACGTGCTCAGACATCACAGCTTCTCGGCAAGCATGGCATGCAACCACACGATCGCATGCAACCACACGATCGCATTCAACCGCACGATCGCATGCAACCGCACGATCGCATGCAACCGCATGATCACATGCAACTGCAACCGCACGATCGCATGCAACTGCACGATCCGGTTGGGGTACACTAATTGAAGGAAAGGATAGCAGCATGCCAATTTATTTGACTGGTTAACGGTGACGTCGGCCAGGGATCTAGATTTTCTTTTCCTTCTTCTTAGCCGATTAATTAGTCGTAGTGGATCGGGGTCAAGCAGTCAATTAGTTGTGAAGAAGATGAAGCTGCCCACGAAAGTACTGTGTAATAATTAGCTAATCTTCGGTCCAGAAGGCAATTGTTTGGACAGAAGCTATAGCTATTAGTCGCCATACAAACAGGGTGCCCAATCAGCAAGCGTGCTGCGGCCAGCAGGTCGGTTGTTGAGCCGCAGGTACAACAGAATGCAGAGTATTTCACTGTGAGGTCTTTCTTAATCAGCAGAGTAGCCAGTGAAACAACACATAGAGGGAGGCAGTAGTGTACACCTAGAAGGAGCCTGATGGCAGCGCTGGCTACTGCCGCTGATGAAGTGGGTGCTAATGGGAGCGATAGAGCAGGAGCAAGTCATCAGTGGCATCTCAGCTATGTAGCGAGTTAATCAGCAGAGTAGCCAGTGAAACAACACATCGAGGGAGCCAGTAGTGTATACCTAGAAGGGGGCATGATGCCAGCGCTGGCTACTGCCGCTGATGAAGTGGATGTTAATGGGAGCGGTAGAGCAGGAGCAAGTCGTCAACGGCATCTCAGCTATTCAGTGAGTCATCCATTCACCCCTCCCTCCCTCCCTCCCTCACTCCCTCTTTCCATCCATCCATCCCTCTGTCCATCCAGGCAGCCACCCTGCCTGCCTGCTTGCTAGCCAGCCAACTGGTGGGCTCCTGTCATTCAGGAAGCCAAGGGGAAAAGAATGGGTGGGCGAAGCCAAGGGGAAAAGAAACATTTGACGATTAGGGCTGAGTGGTCGGCCCCTGTCATTAATGAAGCCAAGGGGAAAGAATCTTTGGAGGACTACGGGAGGATGCCGTGATTTCTGGAGTGCAGTTTAGGTGCAAAATCAGCTGCAATCTCCCATCCTATACTTTGCCTGTTTTCTTTTTTTTTTTTGAAATCGCACGCCCCTGTCAGTGTTAGCGGTGCTGATGCTCTTATTGACTTGCCTAATAGCGGCTGCCGGTTCTTTTCCATGAAAAAAATAAAGAAGAAAAGAGGACTAAATGCTACTCCGGCAAACAGGGGAACCTAAACCCCCAACTCTATTTATGGACTAGCATTAGGGGCCTCGCTCCACTAGCCACATCCGCGAAAGACGAAGAATATGGTGGTGTACCTTCGGATGTTATAGCAGAAGATTCATTCATTCTAATTTTGCACACTCGGTGAGTAGTGGGAGTGAGGCCCTATGTGGCTCGTCCGGCGCCTTCGCATCATGTCATCTGCCTACTGGCAATCCCACGACTTTCTGATTCTTTCCTCCTTTTTTTTTTTTTTTTTTTTTTTTTTCCTCTCTTTTTTTTGTTTTCGTTTTTTTCTTTTCTTTTTCTTTAACAAACAACTTCATGATTCTTTCTTTTCCTATACTAGTAGGTTTGCCGCGTGCTTTCCAGTTTGAGGAAGAGCACAGGATGGATGGAAGGTGTTGTTTTGATTTTGGGAGGCAGGGATCAATTGGGCCCTGTGAAACCCTCAGTGGTTCTGAGCGTCTCTTTCCGCACCGGGATATCTGCTGCACCCCAAAACAAAAGCGGAGCAGTCCACGCATGAAATAGTCTGTTTTGTAACTTTTTGACTGATTTTTTTTTTTCAGCCTTTTTGGTAGAGCAGCCTCAGCCCCCTTGTCAGAACAAAACAGCTTGGAAAGGGACTACCTTCTTCCCCCGAATAAAACGCACGGTCATTATAGCTGTGTGTTTAGGGGGGGATTGTCAAGCAACTCAAGCCCCCTTGCCCCAAAAATACAGCTATAATGACTGTACGACGTACGTCGTATTTGGGGGGAAGAAGGTAGGAATTGAAGCTTTTGAAAGTCTTTTAAAATCTTTTGAAAGTCTTTTAAAATCTTTTGAAAGTCTTTTAAAAGCTTTTGAAAGTCTTTTAAAAGCTTTTGAAAATCTTTTATAAGCTTTTGAAAGTCTTTTAACCATTCCTCTAACAAAAGTTGTATGTGTTCTTTTCCCGTCTAATTTATGCAGCGGCATTGTCAAGATGTACCTGGATTTCTGTACCTGGTCGTCCTTACCTTGCAAGTGCATTGTAACACGGCTTAACTTTTAAGACTGCTGGTCCAGTTCTTGCCCTGTTCAAAATGTCAGTGTCCTTTTTCTAAATTCTTCAACAACTCTCCTGACCTTTCCTCTCCTCGGAAAGCAACTGCAGTTGATGGGAATCGAACCTTTGTTCCACATGGCACTGTGGTCCGACCAAGCGGTCTTGGGAGAGAATAGAAAGTGTCCAAGAAATAAAAAAAAAAAAAAAAATTCTAAAAAAAAAAAAAAAAAAAAAAAAAAAAAAAAAAAAAAAAAAAGTGTCCTCCAAAGTTCAGATGGAATTGCGGATAAAGGGAGTTGAACACTTGTCAGCGTGGTACCGTGTTCCGACCAAGCAGTCTCGGGGAAAGGTCCTTAAACCACCAGAGTACTTCGGGCGGGTTTCCAACTCTATTTGTCCTATCCTTCCATTTCTCAATTTCTGCGTGTTATCCTTGTGCAGGTGCCATGCTAATCTTCTCTGGCTATCTTTCCAATTGTTATGGGTGTCCCGGAGGACTAGCCTCCGTTAGTGAAAACGCCCCTTTTCCCAGTCATTTTGTTATCACGCAGGTGAAAACGCCCCTTGACCTGAGTGCCTTGGCGTCCTGGGCCGAAACGGCTGCTGATGGTGCCAGGCAATTTTTTTTTTTTTAAATAGTAAGAGAGGTTCGCAACTTGAAGTACTGATGGTTTAAGGTCAGTGACCTGGGATCAGAACGCCGTCCGAACCAACTCTCAACGGTGTCGGAAGCTGTGCAAGGGCGTACTCACACTGTGGCACCTTTTTTTCCTACTAATCTCTGGACGTGGTTGCAGTCAGATATATCCAGGGTCGGTTGAAAAATTGCAGTCAGATACATTCAGGAAACTGATAGTGCGAGTATGCCCTGAGCGGGGCTGCCGTTGGCCGTGGAAGAGAAAGAACCGAGTGCCCAGACTGCTATGGTTGCGGCTGCACAGTTGTTTCTATCGGCAGCTGCCATAGCTGCACATGGCTGGCTGCGCTTGTTTCGGCCGCGTGGCTGTGCTTGTTTCAGCCACGGGGCCTGGCTGTGCTTGTTTCAGCCGTCTGGCTGTGCTTGTTTCGGCCACGGGGCCTGGCTGTGCTTGTTTCGGCCACGGGGCCTGGCTGTGCTTGTTTCGGCCGCCTGGCTGTGCATATGGTCCAGCCATGAAGAGAACACAGTGGTGGTTTGCACTCTCTGGTTTCATGTCTTGAGCTGCAGTGGAGGGTGATTTAGACTCCGTTTTTTCTCTTCCTTCTTTTTTTTTTTCGGAGGTTGGGGGGGGGGGGGGGGGGGGGGACTATGCTCCAAAATCTCTTTGTGGGGAGCAACACATCATTGAGCTGAAAACGGTTTGTGGAGGTGGTGTCCAGAAAGCACTGTTAGCAAAATACTAGCAATATGTTAGCCAGTTCCACCCCCCCTCCCCCGTCCCTCCTGGCCCCCCTCCCCCCCTTTCACCCCTTGGGATTCAACTCATATGCTGTAAACCATGCGCATTGCCCCCATCGTTTCAGTGGGGGCCTGGCATTGTTGTTTAGAAATGCCGTTAGGATGGCCTTGGAGGGGGGGGGGCGAATCAGTCAAATTGGCTGTTGAACTGAGCGGTAGCCCCTATGTGACAATCGGAGGGGAAAAAATACCCGGTAGGAGTGGTAAGAGGACAGACAGGCAGCTCATCTGCATTTCCCAATCCCCACATCCAGTAGCCAATCCAAATAGAATCCGGTTATTGGGGCCAGACGCCTCCTGGTGCTATGTGTTTGTGCCCAAAAGACTAGATGCTTTCTAACCATCAACATATTGGCAGTAGGCCCTGTCCCTTAGACCAGGTAAATGCTACCAGACCCCTCCTGGGCGCCACTGTGTAATATAGCGATGGTATAGCTGCGCTACCTGTATTACTAGTACTACTGGTCTACTGCTACCTCGCCCAACCCCAGCACATGAACACCCAGCCATGTGAAAAAGGTGGCGGCAGACATGCTGTTTTCAAATTTGACCCTGTGCTAGTTGCTACCCTTTGCCAACTGCCAACTGCAGTCAACCCCCCCCTTTTTTTTTTTTTTTTTTTTTTTCTTTGAGAAGTTGTGACTTTGTATTAAAAAAAAAAAGAAAAAAAAAAAGTCATTGGACTAGGCCGGGGACCTCACAACCCCTTTTTTTTTAAAACCTCGTTTATAGTGTTTTAAACTTTTTTTAAGATACTCTGCATCCTCTGACAACTTGCATCCTCTGGTAACCAGGGGTGTGAAGTCCCACATGTCTAGATCCTTCATCTCTGGCGGTTGATCAAGGACGATCAACGCTAGAGACAAAGATGCCACTACTTGTTGGTTGATTTCTGACGATCAATGCCTAGAGACAAAGAAGCCAGGTTAGCGGGAGCTCGTGTAAGTATCTGCTTGAACGTGGAAAAGCGTTGACCACCCCTTCAAGTTGCCTCCTCTCTCCTCCCGTCCCTCCCTCCCTCCCTCCACTGCTTCCGCCTGAAAGCCACCTTCGCGACCACCGAAATCACTTCAGAAGAAAAGGAAACAAGTGTTTTTGTTTCTTTTCTTTCTTAGGGTTGGGGGGTGAATGTGACGTACTAGTTTCCGGACCTACGCCATCTTCCGGACCCCTTCTTTTTCCCGTGTTTCCCTGCATCTAGATGTGTACAGTTCGACCCCGAGACCCCCCCTCCCCTTGCTGTCTATGCCCGATTAAAGGTACCTTGCGGGAATCTGTCTGCTCCTTTTCCTTTTTTTTCTGATTGAAAATGCATGGGAATTTCACGCGCCTTAGCGAGCGCGCTTGGAATTTGGCTCGGCAGTTAGAAATCCCGGAACTATCGGAATACCGTGCGACCTTCTGCGCGCGAATGTTCTTGGTTTCGATGTTGAAGACTCTGGGAAATTGTTGTATGAATATGGATTGACGGGAGATTTTTCTTTCCCGCGCTTGTTTTGCGCGCGGATATGGGACTTTCAATTTTGAATTATCATAGGATTGGGAAAAACTGTAACTGTTTTGGTGCCCATTTTCCTCTTGCCGACCGGCGCCATGCAAGCAAGCTCCCTCCTCCTTCCTCCCTTCTGTCCCTTTCGCCATCCTTCTTCGTGCGCATACGCTTTCTCGCACCCGCCACCCGTAATTGCTTTTCCTTCCCCTTTCTCCACGCGCGCCTCTTTTCCCTTCTTCTTCTTGATCATCTGAATCTTGACCCGTTTCGTGCTATCCTTCGTGCTCCTCTCCTTCCCGCTCTAAAAATCCGCGCTCGAAAACCCAGTCGATCCTTCCTCCCCATCTAACCAAGGAGAAGCGTCGTGTAAGCTTGTACTGCACAACGATTCTGATTGGCTGAGACCGAGTTAGGAGGATCAACATGGCTTTCGATGGGCGGCTACTTGCAAACTTTCCTATTCCCTCCTCTGTCTCCCCATTTACCCTTCTCCGCATCTCTCTCCTTTCTCGTAACTATAAATTTCGTCGGCGCCCCCGCAAAACTCTCTCTCAACTCATCGGCCAGCTTTCGGGAAGTAGTGGATAGGTGATGTGTACGGTGCCAGTCGGAAAGTCCTGACGAGCCGACTGTAGACTGGCTGGCGGTGTGCTAGATCGCCACGACGGACTGTGGGATCCGGGCAAGCCACGTCAAGACTAAGTTGGCAGGGTGACGATCGCAGTGGTGGAGGATGATGCGCGACGGCTGGGATCGTCGGCGTCAGAATGGGGACAAGTAATCCGAGTTGAGTGTATGACTGGCCCGGGGCCGCGTTGGAGTTTAATGATGAGTATGCCCTCTTGGTTGCGACCATATTCGTTGGTGTGACTTTGTGGCGGTAAAGCCAGACTTTCTTCCATTCCTCGATCTCTGTGTAATTCCTCTTCCGATCTTTATTCCTCCTCTCTCTCTCTCTTTCTCTTCCTTCGATTGTGAATGGTTCTATTTCTCTTCCTTCGATTGTGAATGGTTCTATGTAATAAGTCAAAGATTGACGAGTGATGAAATGAGTGTGATGACTGTATTCAAATGGTTTCTTCAGGAACTCTTCCATTAGTTTCCTGGGTAGTCCCCCGAGCTATTGGATTTTGTCTTGTGAACGGTGGATGCGCGTGTATTGATCACCAAGGATTCTTCCCCTTGACGTCAACCCTATCGGGGGCATGATTGTCCTTTTTTCGCACCTTCCATAGTGAATGCATGCGCGGGAGAGGAGAGTGAACGGGTACGAAACCCATCTTGATTAGGGCGAGTCGATAGCAGGGGCAATGTTGTTGGGATTTGGAAATGCAGGAATGCTCTGAGTTGTGATTGACGAAGGAATATTGCGAGTACGTATACAACGCACAATTTAATTACAAAATAGCGATCACGTCTCGCCGCGCACGAGTTTTCTTTGCTCTTTCTCCGCACCCTCTATTTCTCCTATCTGGCCTTTCCGATTGGATTGCTAGCATTGCATGCAAGCGATGAATGGTTAAGATATTCCTGATTATTTGCCATGTGGACTGACGGGCTCAGTTCGACTAGGCGACAGCCTCCCGTATCCCCTCTTCGTACCTTCCCGTATAACGAGGATAGGACGAGTATCTGTGAGTGGGACATACGAGAACTCGTCGTAACGATCGGTGGGGAGTACTATTTCCCTCCTGAAAATCGGTGTTCTGGGTTTGTAGGGGCTGGGTTTGTCATTGTGGATACGCACTTTCCGCCGTATTCGCTACTACTACCCTTTAACGAGTTGATCGTCATCCCCTGGTCGACAGTGGCACCCCATTGGCCTAACACCTTGTGTAGTGATTGCCAACGTCTCGATCACTACAAATCGAAGGGGTTCCAATGCCGAATGCGGAACGAGGACGAGCACAAGAAAAGGGCCACGCGATTGAGACCGTTCACGTCGGATTCAGAATTGTGTAGCGTGCAGCGTCAGGAGATAGTGCGAAAATGGGATTCTAAACACGTGCCCGCCCCCTCTCACTCCAAGCGACGAGCCGTGGCCTGGTGGGAAGTTCGACAGTACT